ACAGGCGCATACCACCATCCCTGAATTTTTTGTTTATTTTTGTTTTAGAGATGGTGGGGTCTTGCTATGTTGCCCAGGCTAGTCTCAAACTCCTGGGCTCAAGCAATTCTCCCACCTTGGCCTCGCAACGTGCTGGGATTACAGGCTTGAGCCACGGTGCCCAGCCTGGGTCCCCCAGGGTCACAGGTACCACACTCCTGCCTTACCTCTTTGGGAACTTCAGGACCTCTCATGGCCCACGTGGGGCTGAGTGCTACCGTGTGCTGGACACAGGGCTGGCTGCAACTCCTTGGTGCCCCATCTCCCGGGTCCTCTTGAAGAGTGAGGGGCTGAGTGTGTATGCCCGAGATGACATGTCCCCTGCCTGGTCCCCTCCCTGCTCCAGCACAGCTCTAAGGGTAGCAGAACACTAATTACAGGGATGTGTGGGAAATGATGGCCCCATTTTCTCACCATTGCCACCACCACTGCTGACTCCTACCCAAGTTCCCACCACAGGCCAGGCTCTACAGCGGGCAGGTGTGGCTGAGCTGGGCCGGCTGGGCTGGTGCCCTGCCTCTGGTGGTGTTAACAGCCTCTTCCAATGCAGGAGCCTGGATGCCAATCTTGACCCTTACGAGCTGTGTAATCCTGGGCAAATACTTTGCGTTTGCTAAGCCTCAGCTTCTCATCTATAAAACGGGTACGGGATTCCTTGTAGCACTGTGATGAGGGTGAACAAATGATCACTGTAAAATCCCTGGCCCAGAGCCCAGGAGGCTCACAGCAGGTCCTTGGTGAGTTTCTGTGCCTCCCTGCAGTTCTAGTTACTCACTCATTCATTCACTCACCATCTCTGAGCTCAGCCAGGTGCCTAGCCCTGTGCTAAGTGCTCGTGTGAAACAGTGCTGTAATCCCAGCACTTTGGGAGGCCGAGGCGGGTGGATCACGAGGTCAGGAGATCGAGACCATCCTGGCTAACATGGTGAAACCCTGTCTCTACTAAAAATACAAAAAACTAGCCGGGCATGGTGGCAGGCGCCTGTAGTCCCAGCTACTCGGAGGCTGAGGCAGGAGAATGGCGTAAACCCGGGAGGCGGAGCTTGCAGTGAGCTGAGATCCGGCCACTGCACTCCAGCCTGGGCGACACAGTGAGACTCTGTCTCAAAAAAAAAAACAACAAAACAGTACTAAGTGCTCATGTCAAACAGTACTAAGTGCTCATGTGAAAGTGCTAAGTGCTCATGTGAAACAGTACTAAGTGCTCACGTCAAACAGTACTAAGTGCTCATGTGAAACAGTGCTAAGTGCTCATGTGAAACAGTGCTAAGTGCTCACATGAAACTGTGCTAAGTGCTCACGTGAAACGGTACTAAATGTTCATGTGAAACAGTGCTAAGTGCTCAAGTGAAACAGTACTAAGTGCTCATGTGAAACATTCTGAGTCCTCCAGGTGTTTCCAGGCCAAAGGAATAGGAACAGATGGGCAAAAGGGGGTTGGCCTTCTCTAAAGAGTCCCAGATCAGGGCCCCTTGCCCCTTATGTGGCCTGCCGGTGGCACTTGGATTTCACCCACAGAGCTACCCAGGAACCATGGCAGTTTCTAAGCAGGTCCCAGGGGTCTCAAGGGGGCAGCCTAGAGAGAAGTGAGAGGGTGATGGCGCCACTCCCCAGAGGAGCACAGTGGCCTTGTGAAATGGGTATGGGGTCCAGAACGGACAATCACAAATGGAATTCTTAGTAGCTCTATGCCCTTGGGTATGTCATTCCTCTCTAAGCCTCAGTTTCCCCACCTGGGAAATAAGGATAGCATAGCATTCTTGGATTGCTGAGAAGATACAATGAGGCCAAGTGTGCGGTGTGATTGATCAGATTCAGGTGCCCAACACGTGAGTTGTTGATTTTCTTTCTTTTTTTTTTTTTCCTTTTTGTTTTTTCAGGCCAGGCACCATGGCTCATGCCTGTAATCCCAACACTTTGGGAGGCCGAGGTGGGTGGATCACCTGAGGTCAGGAGTTCGAGACCAGCCTGGCCAACATGGTGAAACCCCATCTCTACTAAAAAT